ATGGGCAGTCGAAGAATATTTTCCTTATCTGTTTAGTATAATTTCTGTACGCAACTGCAAGAGAGAGATTAAGGCAAAAACGTCAGTCATTTCTGGGAATTCAGTGTCTAATATTTTGAAATTATAGTACAGATTATTTATCTATCAATAGTAAAGAGTTGCCAGCACACTATTACCTTTCAGTCAAAATATATAGAGATTCTCTGACAATGGATTTCTATTTATGTTAAGCATTTGACTATGTGGAACTCATCTGAAAACTTAATGCATATGGCTTACCATCAGTATTTTTTATTTTGCTAAGTCTTTGTGCTTGGTGGTTACCATCCATGGAGAAGTTCTCAAGTTCCATTTTTTGTAGTGACCCTTTTCGTTGTTATGCCCAGTACATATTGCTTGCTTGTGTGAACCTCCAATTATATTATTATTCTTAACAAGATTGAGTGAAGCAATCAAGTAAACATGATCAACAAAGACCTGGTGAAGATCATAAAATATGATTCCATCAATTCAGAGGAATTCAATACTGAAATGAAAAATTATCTCTTTATCATTAATTTTTCCATGTTCACAAATGTTCTGAAGTAAAACAAAAATATAAAAAGCCATAACCCCTCGATGATTTATTCATTAAAAAGTCGAAGAAAAGGAAAATATACATGTTGATTAAACCAGTACATAATGGACTTCACCTTAAATACACTAAAGAGTATAAAGTAAAAAAATGTTCAACTCTTGAAAACATCACGGAAGTGTCCAATGCGAGAATTGAACACAATTAGGTACTAGTGTTTCTAGTTCTTTACACATCTTTTAATTCTGCAGGCATATCATTTTTGGGATGTTTATTCTCGAAATGTTGTTTGTAGGTTTTGGGGTCTGGCATCTGGGCCTGCAAAAATGTATATTGTTTAGGAACTGACAAGTAGTAAAAAGTTAATGGATTTTCATCAGGTATCGCACAGTTCTATCATACTTTTAACAAATTTCTTATACTGATGAGGAATATTATTTGAGGAGAGAACAAAGGCATATTTAAGGGACCTACAAATATGCTTCTAATCACTCCTTGCTTTTACAAATATTTTTCACAGGACACTCAACACCAAAGTCAGATAGTCCAAATTGATATATCTATGGTTATTAATTATTCTCAAATCAAGTTGATGTTTCCCAACCCTAATGTTTGTATTAACTTCCACAAATATCAACACTGTATTTCAAATACAGGGCTAGTCAAATTCGAGTCTATGCACAGGGATCTCCTAAACACAGAGATAGAAGATACCAAATAATTGAATCTAGCTCTTTTCGGAAATATGAGGAAAAACTCAACAATTTTCCACTTCTAATTTCTACTGAATCTTATTTGCAGAGATTTTGAAAATCTGTTTACACTGCGCCGTGAAAATTTTAAATGAACTCTATGAATATGGCCTTAGATTTTTCAAGGATATTTCTGGGAATTCTCACCTTCCATAATCTGATGAAAATATAAATTGAACTGAAGAACTCCACACACATTTCTTTCTTCAATTATGATGAGTTTTGTCTAACCTGGGACTTTATCCACTCTGATATTTCAAATACAGACCTATTTTTTATCATTAACAAAGTTCACTTAATATCTTTAAGTGAAAGTCATTCCAAGCATTAAGTTAAATTCGACAATTGATGATCATTAAATAACATTATTATTTTTTCAAAATTGAAGCAATATGTACCACAAATGATTCTCAGTGATCTTCCATTATTTGAATAAATAGAGAACTAAGTACCTCAAATGTGTTAGTATCCCAACCTCTATTTACCCATTGGACAATCTCCTGAAGTTTGAGAATCCATGAATAAGTGTATCAAGAAAAATAAGCCGGTGTTAATTATCTGTACATTATATACTGTGTTATAAAATCATATTTTGTAGTAAAAATCAATGTTGTTGATGCAGTCTTTTCAATTGTATAGTTACCAAAGTAGTTTGTACTACTCTTTGAACCGAACTCACCTTACATACAGTGCAAACATGCACTAAAGCCTTCTGGGCAGCCTTTTTTTGGTCTGTAGCACTGTGTCCTTGTTGCTTTTTGACCTTTGCTGCCTTCTCGGCAGCTTTTGCTTGTGATTGGAGCTTTTGTTGTCCTCGAGCCATTCCTTATTAAATAATTGTTCACCTAGAACATAATTGCTAGAAATAACCTCTTCCTTTACAGTTATTTGAACTTATAAACTAACCTCACAAGACAATAATTATAGAAACTTGGAAGCATAGACATACAAAAAAGTGATTCTTACCCTTACTTGGAAATAAGGTTCAAGTTTTATATTCAGTTGGTTAACTATTGGTGAATAGTTGGTTTATTGTTTAAATTTTGTTATTTTAACGTTGACAGCTGCAACGCAGCGCCTGCCTGCCTGACCCAAGTCTGCCACGGAACTGAGAAAAAGATACGAAAACGGAAAATGGTTAATAAAACAGGAAATACAAAATAATCCTAGTCAAAACACAGAACACAAATTTAATCAAAGCACAGAACACAAATTTAATCAAAGCACAGAACACAAACTTAGAACAACTCGAGAGTTGCGTTCGATTATTCCCAGCTTCACGAGAGTGACATTTGACAATTGAACCCATAGAACTCATGATTGTATCTTAGAATCAAACCACGCTTGTGTGTTTATTGATGATTGGTGTCTTCATCTGTGTCTTTATGTTGAACAAACCATGTGCACAGAAATCTGACCGGTTACCGGTTACTATTGTAGTGTGACGTCTATGTTATGATAATTTAAGAACCAAGGTTTATGTGGTAATCCTGTTTGTATTTTACCTTCATGCAGAGTAGCCCAGCTCCCTAAAAATTGTATTCGATTTCGAATATGAATTAGCATATAATTTCTAATTGATCTAGTTCAGTTTTTATTGGTTTATTCAAATCAAACCTTATATTGGCGGATTTATCTGCTGACTCATTGCCTTCTGTGTAAGTATTACGTCATATTCATGCTAGCCTTATATTTATGTTTTTTAGGTTCTGTTAGTACCTGTTTGACTTCTTGGTCATTTTTCAACAAAATTCATTTTGGGAAATTGATGGGTAATCGAATCCAAGATAGTGTAAGGGTATTATTATGTATAATGAAATTAACATTGGTAGTTATGACGGAAATCATGATTGCCAAGAAATAAATATAAAACCCGGTGCTATTTGGAATTAGCGGCAATATCATGGCTAATTGCGCTACTCACACATTTTATGCCGAATTATCTCGACAATAGAGGACTAGTACATATTCAGTGTATTTTTTTCTTTTTTCATCACAAAATAGTTTTGGAGGATATAAATATACTAATTGTGCACGAATCATGGGGTTCTGAATAATTTGATGGTGCATGTATCAATAAGAAAGTTAGCTATTTTATTATTCATTCACGCCTCTGCAACTTTTGAAATTGAAACGGACAATTTTCCCAAATTGAGCCTAGAATAGTAAAAGCGTAGGTATTGGACATTTTGTATCAATCGACGAGGAGGTTGACTTTAGAAGCAACGCTTTTTCTGCTTTCAACATACAATTTTATCTGAAACGTCGGTTTTTTGAAAATGTTGGGTCTTGGCCAACATCGGGTAATTTTAGACACACTTGTGGGTAATTTGACGATTCAACATTGGCAACACTGATTGAAATGTAAGGAAAGCAATATCCACAAGTTGGTAAAGAGGCAAGCATAATTATTGATCAATTATGGTTTATCATGATGGATTCTGGCTGTCGTGGACGAAAATCTTGTAAAGCTAACAATGCTCATGCATATATTCGAATGACTCCTGAATGAAAAGTTAAAATACAACGAACGCGTCTGCGACTTTTGTTACCATACTTGTAATGAAAATACCGATTTCAATAAAAAAAGTTACAAAATCAACTGGCCAGGAAAAAAATTTTAAACATTGCGGCATGTACTTTAGATTTCAATTTTACAAAAGAATAGTTTTTCCCAAATATCCGTAATGACTTGAGCGCCATCTCCTATAATATTTAACAATGTTTTGAGTTCAGGATCTTGGTATATGAGCAATATACTGTGTTATAAAATCATATTTTGTAGTAAAAATCAATGTTGTTGATGCAGTCTTTTCAATTGTATAGTTACCAAATTGGTATGTTTCATTACATTTCAATGTAATTTTATATGGATGATTAAAAACTGTAAGAAACGCATCCAACATAAATGAGAAATATAATATTCAAAGAAAGAAAAAAGTGAAATTAAATTGGACCTAACAATTCTTATCATCAGAGGCAGAAAAAAAATAGCTGATTCAATAAATTAAGTACCTACTAGATTAACAAAGTATAACAGACCTTTCTTAAAGCAGCGAGGATCAATGGATATAAAAATGTTTGTGTTTAGTAGGATGAAGTAAGGCAGGACATACTGAAATTATCTCTGAATCAAATTCAGTTTATTATAATTTTGTAATAATAATAATGAAAGATTTTAAGTGGCCACATTTGGATATTAGCTATTCTTATACTAAATTTTCATGTAATTTCAGATCAAATAATACTTTATTCGAAATGAAATGATAATGATATTAATTTATCGGTATCAACTGATCTGGCTCTCAACCAAAAAATTTTTAGGAGAACATGAGATATTTCACATTTTATAGTACGTTGTACAAACTGAATGTTTAACTTGTCTAAATTCACTGACAATAAACACATAACAATATTTTCATACAAGTAAACTGCAGAATAATTTGTAGAGATGATACTATTTTGAATTTGAAAATTAATAACTGGATGAACAGACATATTGAAGTACCTACAAATTATTTTTAAATTTTTTTCAGTGTGTTTGGATGTCTGATATACAAAGTGTGCTGTGTACTTACTCGAATTCGAATCTAAACTATTATCTCCGAAAAAAGTTCTCATCATTACACGATACTTTTTCTAGAAGAAGACATCAACTTTCAAAAAGAGGTAAGATAAAATTTGTGATTTTTGAGACATTCGAAAGTCTCATATCAAATATCAAATTGATGTGTATGTATATTGTACAAAGTTTTTTGAGAATCATTCAGGTCTAGTGACTGAATGTTTCTCACCATTTCGTCCAAATGGTTGCCTTCTTCACTGCTGAAAATACTACAACAATAAATGGTAAATCATAACAGAGAATTTTTACGATATTGAGACTTCCAAAAGCAGATGTATTTGAAATCTATTGATGATTTGCTTTTTCATTCAGTATTTATTGTAACTAAATGTTTCATATCTCGAATATCTGTCATCGATAGAATGCCTTTTGATTTTTTTAGGCACAAACTATGTAGATTTTGAAGAGATGAGAAATGTTACTTACGAAGGTGAACTTGGAAATTTCGAAACAGTAACTTTTGTTGAAGAAAATTATCTTCTCGTGGGAAATAGTTTATTAGGACTATCTACCATTCCCAATCAAGAGAATGTCGTGAACTTGCAACAGGAATTCGAGAGAATTCCAAAAGACCAACGAATTACATTCGCAAAAGTAAGTAGTGAAAGAATATCCATTTCTCGAATTGATAAAAGCACACTTTATTATTTCTGTTTGTGATTATTGTGATACATTTGATTATATTTCTTTCAGGCTGTAATTTACGAAAATGTCTCCATAATTCTCTCAAGATTGGAACTAGGCGAAGCTCATATTTATGGTTTTAGAAACGAAAGACATTTTTTTATACAGACTATCCTTGTTCCATATTCCATTGATGCCCACTTTTTTGTATTCAATGATGATTTGTATCTAATGGTTATCAATAATAAAGGCGATAATTTGGCAGAGACTATGTGAGTAATAATTTTTCTTCAAAATACAGAACTTATAAACTAATGAATACTTTTTTGATTAACTTGTCCCTAACAGTTTAAAAAGCCATAAATGTGAACTATTCGTAGGATAATTTTGTATTAGACTAGCCCTATATTGTATAATGAAACACGTGCTGATATTTCTTTAAATAATTTTTTATGGAGGAGAAATCCTCCAATAAAGTGCTTTCAATACGTTGACATTTCATTTCAGAATATACAAGTGGCTGGGATCTCACTTTGATGAAATTGAAACAATTTTTACAACAGGGGCAATAAAGGTTACAAGTTTCAGTACCAATACATCAGAAATTATAATAATAATACAGCATTTATCAAATAGAAAGGTGAGTAGTTCAAACACTTTACGGGTGGGTAGGTTAGCTCCAAAGTGAAAAGGTTCATTCAACCTTCCACTGCAACCCGCAAGGATTTATTGTGACTCACACATATTCAAACTCGGACAAACAAATAAATCTTCTTGACGAAGTCGATTACTTCATTTGGTGAGTGATATTTTAGGTCAACTGGCATGAGTAAGACTGTCAAAAGCTAAAAACCTAGAACCTAAGACTCCAACATGGTAGGTATTGCATAATTTGCTTCACACAATTTTCAGTTGAGTTGATGAATATGTTCATACAATGTTATTTCATTGGCGATGACAAGACCTACAAACTGTTGACGAGTCAGATGGGCTTTTTGGTATGATGTTTCATTTAATTTGATGCAAACCAGTCATAAAGGCCATCCATTATGCTTTGTTCATCAGGCGTTGAGTGTTTAAATTCATTTTCTCGGATTATAATGCTAGTGTCATCTGCGAAGAATGTGAATGGTACTGCCGGAAAATTGCTGACGATATCATCAACATAAATAAAAAAAGGGAGGGTCTTACGATGGAACCTTGTGGTACACCTGCGCTCATGACACCGCTATCTTAGTAATTATAATGAACCATGTTGTTGTGTGTCTCTTCAATCTCAACTGACATCTTTCGCTCGAAAATGTCGGAAGGTCGGAATCTTTGGTTACTTTAGGGTACATGGAGAGCCTCACGAGCAGCTGGGGAAAGGAGGTCCATCACGGTAGAGCCCCGTAGAGGGCGCCCGGTACCCCGAAGAAACACTTTATTACAGAAACACACGTTTATTGAGACACTTGGCAAGTTTTTATGTTGCAGGTATGGTCGGCTATTTATGAATTCAGAGGGAATGGAATCAAAAAAATACAATATATTGAAACAGAAACTCCTGTTAACCTTGATACTTATAGTAGTCGGCACAAGAGATATGTTATAATATATGGGCAGTCGAAGAATAATATGATTTATCTTTGGAACGGTAAGCAAATTACTACCGATATCATTCAGTCAATCAAGATACAGGACAAGTTTTTAATTTCATCTATTGGTACCCACACAGCACATGTTCATCTTATGTACGTCCAATGAACGTTCATTCTGGATATTCAAAACATCCATTGGACATCCCTTACTGTACGTAAAACATCCAGTGGACGTCCAGTTCTCTCATCTTTTATTGTTTTCTAGATACTTCTAATAGACCATCGGATATGGAATACCCTGTATATATCCAATATACACATTACATACCAATTATATACCGTGTGAAGCAGGACCATGGTGCACCCCATTTTCTCCTAATATAGTTTCAATGAGAATTGACATTTGGGATATCCTGTATAGTTACTGAATGCCGCTCAATAATAAAGTATACATTGTCCCAAATTTCAATCTATAACCTTCAAAGGTAAAGTAGAAAGAAGGGAGATGTGTATCATATATATGATCCTGTCACACCCAGTATATAAAGTATCAATGCTAGTAAACATTGAAAAAACCTACATCCATTTCAGCTCTAAATAAAGAACAGATATAGCAAAATAATTTGAATGATTTAATAACAAAATATAGATATGAACAATAACATAAATATATAATTCTGGTAAAGCAATCAGTTGAAGAAAATGAATAAAAATAAAAATTAAATTCTCCATGGAAATGTTAGCAACTAAAACTGAATTAAAAGCATCCTGAAATTCCTTGAATTCATTTTCTTTCACTTGCTCTCCTTAGCCATTTCATTATGCAGTCCTCTATTTCCTTTTTTGTATTATTCTGATATGCCTTCTCTGCAGCGCCTTTAAAATAAAATGCATTTATGAGAAATTGAATCAAAATTACAGACATTTGAAAAATGTGGTTGTAGAAGTGTCAGTATATCATTGACAGCATTATGAGGAACATTATGTTGTAATGCCCACATTGCCAGTTGTTGGGTAGTAAGTGAGGTTTCATCAACTTTTTTATGTTTAGAAGGATCATGTGAGCTCATATTTAAAAATAATGCTTGATCTTGATCATCAGATTTGTTCAGTTCCTCCTCAAAACTATTTTTTATGATTCCCGCAACCAATGAAATGTTATACTCCTGTGAATCAGAATTAGAAGTTTCTACAAAGGAGTCATTGTTTACGAAAACACACATTTCTGAATCATTATGAAATAAGTTTGATCTACAGGAAGATTGCTCAAGCTCATATTCCTCAAATGAAGAATCATCTTCATTCAGTTGCATTCGCAATGCTCTCTTATAATATTTGTTCAAAAAAAGTTTTCTAGAGCTGATGCTCTTCATCCTTTTATTATTCATTTCAAACACTAAAGAAGCTGGCAAGTAATATAATATATACTTATCTTTGATTCTTCGTTGAATAACACTGCAATCACCAAAACTTTTAAGTTTTACCACACTAAATATATATATAAAACTACTAATTTGGTTAACNTGTTTCTTTAATTTTTCTTTGTGACTGTATAATGCCCACTTTTATCTATCTGTTTCTTCATTTTCTTCAGGATGTCACCCGATTTAAGCGAAAGTTAAGAAAGACTGAAAGTGTTTCTTGTTGGAAAATCGATATTTTGTGAACTTTTTACCATTTCTCGAATTTGTGGCATCTGTCTACCCCTTAATAGATTTATTTCGTTCAGAATAGTCTCAACTCCCTATACTGTAGGTTAATGGACTGACACCTCTCAGAAAACAACTACTCCCCTATCTAATACCACGAAGGACATTGTATTATCCGACAGGTGTCAGTGCAGGATTCTTCACTGAATTATTCCTGCATATGCTGTTGACGATACAACTTCCGCAATAGATTTTCAATTATTGGAACATACTTACAGACCGGTTTCGGGCTGTTTGGCCACTGTCAGTGCAAGGTAGTGTATCAACATGAAGTCGATGATTTCCAATAATTGAAAATCAAATTCCTTCAGAGTATCATTCCTCGAATTAGGCTGAAGCGGACAACAAACAAGAGGTTTGTCATCGCCTCATCTGCCTGTGAACGAGGTAACCAACCGCATATAAGAAATTTGCCCAATTTCTCGTTTAAGGAAATAAAACTTCACATATAGTCAGTGGGCATATACGGTTGGTTACCTCGTTCACAGGCAGATGGGGCGCTGACAAACATGTTGTTTGTTGTCCGCTTCAGCCTATTTCGAGGAATGATACACTGAAGGAATTCGATTTTCAATTATCGGAAATCATCGACTTTATGTTGATGATAGACACTACCTTGCACTGACGAGTGGCCAAACAGCCCGGAACCGGTCGGCAAGTGTATTCCAAAAGTTGAAAATCTATTGCGGCAGTTGTATCGCCAACAGCATATGCAGGAATATCTTCAGTGAAGAATCCTGCACTGACACCTGTCGGATAGAATCCAATAGCCCTTAGTGGTATTAGCCAGAGGAGTAGTTGCTTTCTGATAGGTGTCAGTCCATCAACCTACAGTGTACGGAGTTGAGACTGGCCTGAACGAATTTTTCCTTTAGATGATTTGATTTATAGCCAATCTTAGTATGCCCACTGATTGAAACTAGTTGAGTCAATATTTTTGTCTTTTTTTTATTTTTGGCATCTGTCTACATCTTGATAGATTTTGTTTTCAATATTTTTCCAAGTACCACACAAATCGAACAAAAACGAGAGATTGAGAATAGTTTTTGAAAAACGTTGAAAAAATCAATGTGTCTAGTAACGTTTTCAATTTTTTTCTGATATGTAGCTACACCCTCGAGTCGTATTATTCATTAAAATCAAGAAATTGACAATAAGTTTTCAATTTATTTTTTCAAACTTCAGGGCAGAGCTATTACAAGGAGGGTACCTCAGTTGTCGAAAATCGATATTTGAAAATGCTTCTTTTGAATGTTTCCCTCACTTTGTGATAACTCCACTAAGAATACTTGTAATTGACGGTGTTTTGAAATTTAATTAATCGAAATTTGAAGGTTATCATTTGTTTTACAGGAAAAATTGCAAGTATACCGTTTATCTTCAGAAGACGTACGAATGGAAGGTGAGAAACACTTTTCTTCAAATTACTCAGCTGTTTTAGGCATGCACACTGAAGAAATTGAAGGTAGTATTACAACCATCCTGGTTGGTTTAACGGATAACCTTGAAATAAATGTGAAGGTGGCACCTTTCACGATCAATTTTATCGAAACAGGTAACGGCAGCTCGGTCACTTCGAATTTCTTTTCATCTCATTTTTATTTCCAGAATATACTACAAAAGAAAAGAATACACTTCGAGAATGTTTCAATACTCTGGAGCGGAGAGTTTACACGATGAGGAAACAAATCAATGAAATGAACTCTGAAATGAATATTGACATTTCTGATACTGACTCTGGAACTACTGAAGATTTCTCTAGCGCCATACTCAGTGATGATTTGACACTGGTAACGCTTTTTAAATATTTTTCAATGTGGGATACATCTGTGTGTCGTCGGTTTCTACTTGTGACATATTGTACTCAATGTGTCCACGATAAGAAGAGATAATTCGGAAACCGGAAGTCGGTTAACTCAGGAAAAAGTTGCCCAATTCAGAGAGTATTTGCGTGACGTTTTGTAACTTCATACAAATGCACCACATTTGAAAACATTATTTCTTCAATTGTTCAGTTTACATCTGCCATGCTCTAAGTGTGTTTCGCGGAATCATAGAGTTCCGCGATACCCCTGTAGGGTTTCCGTAAGAAATTAGAAACTAATTAAAAACACCTCTCTCTGGTCGATCGTTTTGACGCGGCGTATCACGATTAACGAGGCGCAACCGAATTCAGTCGCCACCCACCACAGTATACTTCGTTCATCCATATTTTGTTAAGCCGACACAAACGGGCAGCCACTCGAGACAAAGCTACCGCTGCCTTGCCGAAAGGCGGCGTGCAGCTACTCCAAAGAATCCTATGCAAGCCATTAGGGTTAACGTACTGTACAATTTCCTATGCCGCCACGGCCGATATCTACTTGTGAGCGCTATAGTCGTGAACAGGCGGCTTTCGGCTGTAACTTCAAAACATGAAGTCAAAGTTGTTAATACCGCATTTCTTGTATTTCTATTTGTTTTTTATTCAACGAAGGCGCCGACTCGAGTATTTTTGAGAACTAGATCATTTGGTCTTCACGAGGAAGATATTCCTCTTGAAGATGATCACTTTGTGATCGAAACACGTGTCGGGGTGTTGAAAATAACGATTTGGTGTTGGGGAAATACTCCAGTGATATTCATTACTGAACCAAAGGTTCCAAACAGTGCATCACAAGTACACTTTTTAAAGAGGTTATTCTGAAATTGATTTCCCCTTCCTTTCTTTTCAAGTTTCTCACATTTTTTGTATAAAGATGGATAAGTAGAAATCCAACATTTTCTTTCCATTTGATGAAAATAGATTTCATCTCTTTTTTGATTATTTATCTTTTGAACATGCATTTTTCCTGGGGGGTAGAAATATACCCTCTGATAGAAAAGTAAATTTCTTATTTCTGTTTCAGGAGAATGGAATAGAAAAGGACTTGAATGTTATCAAAGTGAGACTGGAATCAGTGAATTCATTTTTGAACGATTACACGGTCCCCAATTCAAATACTTTAGTAAGTTAATGTTGTTAAACTAGAATAGAAAAATATAGTAACCATAGTGCACTGTAATCAAGCAGAAACAAAAATTATCATTTCCAATGCACTGAAATATTTTCTTATTGAAGGCGTGTGTCAAAAGAAAACTTTTTCGGTTTCCTCTGAAAGGCCTTTGTGTCTGAGCAAATTTCATCAAAAATACCATACCAGCACAAGCAGGTAAACACCTACAGACTTGTTTACTCATCACTGTAAGCAGTTCATGAAAGAACAGCGTATGAGCCATATCACTGTAAGCAGTTCATGAAAGATCAGCGCATGGGCCATATCACTGTAAGCAGTTCATGAAAGAACAGTATATGAGCCATATCACTGTAAGCAGTTCATGAAAGAACAGCATATGAGCCATATCACTGTAAGCAGTTCATGACAGAACAGCGCATGGGCCATATCACTGTAAGCAGTTCATGAAAGAATAGCGTATGAGCCATATCACTGTAAGCAGTTCATGAAAGAACAGCGCATGGGCCATATCACTATAAGCAGTTCATGAAAGAACAGCGCAAGGGCCATTTCACTGTAAGCAGTTCATGAAAGAATAGCGTATGAGCCATATCACTGTAAGCAGTTCATGAAAGAACAGCGTATGAGCCATATCACTGTAAGCAGTTCATGAAAGAACAGCGTATAAGCCATATCACTGTAAGCAGTTCATGAAAGAACAGCGCATGGGCCATTTTTGAAGTGATAACTTCTTATGGGAGGGTGAACCGCTTCGTTTCCTAACGCGAAAGCGCCCTGCCACACAGGGAGCTTCACGTGTCTCCCTCCCGAGAGAGGAGGAGGCTGTTAGCGCCGAAATGCAACGAGCTCAATGAAGCTTTCAGACGAAGAGCGGGAGGCGCCACGTCTCGGGAGAAGAAAGCTCTCACGTCTCCTGCACCTCGAGCCGGGGAGCCACGCCTCCTCAAAATGCAAAAGGATGAGGGAGGGCTTCCACACGAAGAGTGAAAACGGCTCTCCGTGGTTGACACACTATTTATTATGGCAGGTTACGATGTGGAGCTGTTGATTAGTGCCCGTGAAATTCAAATATTCACCGTATTTTTTTAACAGACCGTACATGAGGTAATTGTAGAATTAGTAGTTAGATATTCTTTCTTACAGATTGTGAATGGAAGCTTGATTATAGAAGGTTCCGCTGAAGCTGACGAATTGTCTGGAAAAGGTATCACAATTAAATCTGCAAATGGAAGAAAATGGGTGCCAGAGCAATGGTTGAAGTATGAAGAACCCCAAACGATAACAGGTCCAGTGAAACTAAAAAACGTTTATACTAAAATGTTGGAAACAACACCAGATGATCCATTAGTGAAAGGTTGTTACTAACTGAGTGAATTATTGAAACTGAAACTTGTATTTGTAGATCTCTTGCTGAAAGACGGAAATCAAACAATCACAGGCCACATTTCGATAGGAAACCTCACAGCCAGTAGGATTTATGCAAGAAAAATCAACGACATACCGATGGAAAGAGTTCTCCAGAAAGGCGATCCTCAACCTGTTCAGCGCGTTACAACAAACAAAAAAGTTGATGTTGGTGAGCAAATAGGACTATTGACTCAGGTACGTAGTTTGGACTACATATCAACAACAAGTATTAAATAGATCACGTATATGCAAAACGATTGCAAACCAAAATATTTTGTTGAAAGACCGTTCAGCCTACATCATCTGTTCAGATTTGTTGTTGAAAAATCCCCGAATATATATCGTCTTGCTGTGATAGTCGAGAAGAACTACATCAGACTCATTAGTTCGTATGAGCCTGAGGGTGGGGAACGAATAGCTCCAATAAATACGGCACACTTCTCGTTTCCCACAATTGATTCAATATCCCCCGGAGTGTAGGGCAACACCAAGTTCGCCAGTTGCTCGGGCAGCTGCGCTTAAGAGAAATGCTTCAATTCCTGCTCTCTCATGGTAGGGGACCATGCAGAGAAGGGGATCCGAGCTCCTGACGACTTTACAGGCTCCATCCAGTACTATTCTGACATGTAGACAGCCATAACTCAGAAGTCCTCGGCCTCCCTGTTGTCGAGGGAGGTACAGCCGTGGAACGGACAATTTGGGATGCCTATGGAGGTGATAATCCTTTTCACCAGGAGGAGAAAATTGGACGATGTAACGTCACTCTCCCTCAATGGTGAGGTCATTCCATTTGGGACAGAGGTGAAATGTCTTGGCATTGTCCTTGATAAAAATCTCACCTGGAACGCTCACTTGGAGAAAGTTTTACACAAAGCCAGACTGTCCCTATAGACATGGCGAAGGATTTGTGGTAAAACTTGGAGGTTTGGGTCCCAAACAAATCCATTGGATTTATGTGATGATTGTCAGACCACAATCAGTACTACAGTACCACATCGTCAGCCGCCATGGAGATCCTTCTAGATCTACCTCACATATTTCTGGAGAGAGAGGCTAGATGGACTGCATATAGACTTGTGCACATTGTCAATTGCACGAATCAATTTAATGCAGAGTGCAACAGACTGTTGGTTGACATTGGAAGTCACAGAATTCTGGAAATGGCCTCTGACTTTATGCCTTCACCTGTCAACTACGAACTGCCTCATAAAGTACTGTTCCCTAGTAGAGAAGACTGGATCCTCCGGGAGAAGGCAATATTAAGAGTTGGTTCACAGATGGATCAAAAACACCTTCCGGTTCTTGTACAGGTATTTTCAGTTGCAGGCCCAGGACAGAGATATCAACCTGTCTAGGAACCTATGCGACTGTATTTCAAGCGAAAATTTACGCTATTGAATTGTGTGCAGAGAGATTGGAAGAATCCAACCTCATACACAAGTCAATAAAAATATTCTCGGACAGTCGAGCGGCGTTGGAAGTTCTTGGATCCTACCGAGCAACGTCTAAATTGGTAGCAAATTGCCAAAAATGACTCTCCTCGATAGGAAGACTTAACAGATTGTCTCTGGTCTGGATTCTTGGCCATACTGGTCTGGAAGGCAATAAGGCTGCTGACTCCCTTGCAAAGGAGGTTGCGGCAAGCAGCTTCATCAGACCAGAACCTGTCGTTGGCATCGTTTTAGGCTTTGCCAAAAAAAGATTGAACACCTAGATGGCAAGAAGATTTATGGACTTCTAGCAGAATCTTCCAGGACTGGCTCACTCCAAGGCGTTTATTCACCCTTCGAAGCTTGATACCTAACAGTTGTTGGACTACAGACAGTGTGTGTCGCCCCTGTTTGGAAAATGATGAAACAGCAGAGCACATCTGACCCGAAAGACCACTCACCACACAAACTAATCGGCTTCGTAAAGAAGTTGTGTTTATTTGGCCGAGTGAGAATAGGTGTGCGCCACAATAAACCCTTGCGGGTTGAGGTGGAGGGTCGAATAGACCCACTCACTTTGGACCTAACCTAACCTTTGAGGTGCATTACGTCGAGTTGATACAGCTCCTCCCGAGTCCACTTCACTACTCCAAACGAGTAGAGTAAGATCGTAACGGCAAGCATATTCGTTTCATCAACTTTGTTCTCAACTGACAGTCAGGGCCGTCGCCATGGGAGGGGATGGGGGGGAGCCTCCTTCACTGCTTTTTCGACTTGGGAAAAGGTTGGGAAATTTTTTTACAATATTATCATGTTCAAAAATAGAAACAAGGATTCAACGATTTATACAAAATTTGATAAGCATGTTCATAGAGAAATCTATTTTTGTATTTTGTACAAGATGTAACACCGGTTTCCACTTGATTTTTCAGAAGGAATCTGCTAGTGATCTACCTGTACAGTCCAAGATAAATTTCGATTCGAATGTTGCTATAGAAAATTTGGAAGTCGAAACTATAAACGGTATAGATTGGAATGAGTTTGTGAATTCTGTGTTCAGGATAGGAACGGATTCTGTGATAACTGGTATGACCATTTTTATGATACAACAACTAGGTATAACACTTTTTGTTTTTCAAAAACTCGATTTCGATATTGAAGCCGTGATTTCGAAATCGAATTAATGAACAAATGATTGAAAAATATACGCATTTCATTAGACTTTCTAAAAGTGCACCTCTGCTTTCCATCTTTCCGAGATATTCAAAAACTGTATTTAAGTATACTGAGTGTTTCATCGGTAACAGTTTACCTTCATTTACATTGTAAATATATTTTGTTGACACAAACAGCCAAGCATCTGTCTACTATAGGTTGGTTACTTAAGTTTTGAAAAATTGTGGTATTATTTTCATTATGAATTTAACTAGTTCGGACTTCCATTGTCTATTATGATATAAATTGAAATCTCTGAAATAACAAATGATAATGAAATCGAAAATAATACCTGAAAATAACAATTCTATTAAGCAAAAAACCCTGAAATTAAATTACAATAAATTAAAAAATTAGGTAGAAAAATTGAAAATTGAACAATTAAAATGAAATAAAATATTTGAAGACTTGAAGCCGAATTACTTCATGAGGTATCGATTGTTACTATCCACAATATTATTTGTGGATAGACAATGGAACTCCGAACTAATGAAATTGATGATATTATATGATTTAACATACCTGAAAGAACAAATAAAATTGAAAATCAAAATGAATAGCTGAAAATAACAATTTTATTAAACAAAAAAATGAAATTAAATTACAATAAAATGAAGTACAATTTATTAATTGAACAATTAAAAAAGTTAAAATTGAAAGATTTCAAGCCAACGTTTTGATTGTTAGTATCTACAATTGTCTTCGGATGATGACTGGACTTATTCCTCTGAGATCTGAGTATTTATAGGTCATTCGANATTTTTTTTTATGTGTGCTTTCGCACACTCAGTTCTGAGAAGAACTAATCGTCTTAGTGCTTTGTTATAACTCGACTCTATTCTAACACTTTGGTATATCTCTCTGAATAAAATTCTTATCTCTGCACTTCAGGTAATATAAGCTTTGACTTTGATGTTAGCACTTCGGCGTCTGGGACACTGAATCGGACTTATTCCTCTGAGAGATGACTATTTATAGGTCATTCGAGCGCTTTCACTTATCCCCTCTTCCCCCTCTCCGCTTCACCGGTTTAGCGTCGTTGGACAACATATATATGCAACATATATGCACACTAAAATACAAATAAGCAGAAAAAATTGAAAATTGACCAATTACAAATGAAATTGAAAAAGTAAAAGGTTTCAAACCAAATTACTCCACGACGTTTCGATTGTTGGTATCTACAATCGTGGATACTAACATATTTTTATTTCATTGTAATTTCTTTTCACGTTTTCATTGCTCAATATATTTATTATTTTTAGCTTTCAAAATTAATTTTATTTGTTCCTTCATAGATTTCAAATCACATTAGAATCATATTAGAACTAGTATCTGAACTAAGTAGATGAACAATGTATGTACGAGCGCAAAATTCTTACTTGGGATTTTGCGGACATCCGAGCGGAACTTTGTGGAACGCCCAACGCGAGGTAGGGGTGTTTCGGAGAGTGGGAGAGAGAAACGTGTGACGTATTCAATGCAGGTAGGAATGAGTATCGGAGAGATTCAATTGAAGAGCGTGGGTCCCCAGAGGGGGTAAAATGCACAGTGAAACATTGTCGACCACCTTCAAACAAACGTATGTTAATTCATGACCTGCACGTATATTGCACGATGATTGTACTCATTTTTACACCTTTTACATATACATTTCTGACGCAAAATCCTTCATATTTCATGTTTCAGGCCCTCTTACTTTCTCAAAACTAAAAACTATGAGGCTGAGCCTCAAAAAGTTGAAAGATCTGAATGTAGCAGACCTATTGACAACATCAACAGATCAGACAATTCATTCCAATGTGGAATTCTATCGTATTTTCTCTAGAAAAATATCCGCTGAAACTGTGAACAACGTCAACTTACGTGAATCGGCAGTTTTGTTTGGACATAATGAAACCATCAATGGTAAGTAAATGAACTGCAGAATTTGTTGAGTAGTGACATTTTCATTTCCAGTTCCTGTAACATTCCAAAAGCTGAACGTCGTCAAAGATTTGGAAATAGCTGGGAAACTCGATGACTCGCTCTTTTGGAAGGCAGGCGATCATATCATAGGAACTGATGAATCTGACCTATTTCAACATTATAGTGGTAAAGTTACGATCAAAGGAAACTTGCACCTGAAGAGTCTATATCTTCAACCGAAGACGAAATTGATTGTTTCCGGAAAACAAATGAGTTCCGATTTGGCTAACACATACTGGACCAAAAGTACAAACCAGGTGAATCACTTTCAATATAAATCATACAGGGTCTTTCATTACGCCCTTCCTATCTTCAAATTTGAATGAAACAAAGTTTGTGTGAGCTATCATCGAAATTTTTTATTCGTTTGGTGATCAGAGCAATAGTTCTGATTGATATTAAACTAGTCGTTTTAACAGTTTACAGATCACCAAAAGGCAATGTGGAGGATTTTTTAGAGAGTTTTGAAGGTGCCATTGGTGTGGCGGCAGAGTCTGGTTTGGATGTAGTTATAACGGGTGATATAAATATCGATCTAAATCATTTATCACCCTCTGGTAAAAAATTAAAAGATTTATTGACATCCTTTGGTTTCGCAGCTACTATTAATGATTACACCAGAGTAACAGCTACATCGGCTTCCTGCATTGACAACATTTTTACCAACTTGAACAACCATGTTTTCACGGCTGGTGTCTGGGAACCATGTATTTCAGATCACAGAGCACAAGTAATTGCTATAAATAGAAAAAAAAACCTTTTTCCAAATAAACCTTTAGTTAAAAGGTTTTTTTCAAAAAATGGCATATGTAGGCTAAGAAATTCCCTCTTAAATATGGACTGGTCTATTTTTGAAGCCAATCGAGATGTTAACTACTTATCTCATTTTATAACAAACACCTTTAGACAGCTGATCGTTGATATTTTTCCTCTGAAAAAATGCCGTGAAAAAGTCAGGAAATCTCCAGTAAATTGGTTTGATGATTCTTTGAGGGAAAAAAGAGACAAACTCTCCACTCTCAAAGCTATTTCAGAGGTCAGCAAAAAACCTGTCGACATTGCTGTCTTCAGGAGTTTCAAGAAAGATTATAATAAACAATTAAAAAACAGCAAAAGATTAGCTTATGACAATTTCATTTCGTCAGCTAAGAATAAGTGTAAAGCGTCATGGAAAATTGTAAATTTCGAAAGAAATAAAAATAAAAATGCAAGCAACCTCCAAGATGACTCCTTGTCTGCTGAGACTTTCAATGAATTTTTTGTTGAAATTGCCGCTAACATAATAAAGTCAATTCCTGCAACGGCGGACACGGAACTCTTAAACTATCGTAATTTCCCTANCGTGTTAGGAATCACACGTTAAAAGGTAAGACCTCGTTAATCCTTAGCTCGCACAAGTTTCGACTTCTGAGGGTTGTCGTTCGTAGGGGTGCGACAGCTGGTTAACGGAAAAACAGATTTTAAACAGATTTTAAACAGATTCATTCATTTGTATACCCAAATATTCATGCACGATATGTCCGACATGCACTTTTGAAATCTTTTGAGTCTCAGCTATCTTGATCTTCACTTTGTGGCCATCCAAAATTATTTAGTGGATTTTTTGATGTTTTCGTCGGTAACAGCCTCTTTGGTGCGTCCACTGCATGCATCGTCTTTTAACTCAGCAAACCACTTCTCAACGGTTGACTTTCCTGGTCAAAGTCCGAATTATGTTCAATAGTATTTTTTTTCGCCAAAGAGCAATGCTTTATTAACACACGAAATTCCTTTTTATCAATGTTCTTCAAACTAACAATAGTTGCTTAACTCAAAAAGTTCTATCCCAAAAACCAGTAGTCCGACAGTTGTGAAAGCTGTACACGTGGCATTTGAAGGTTAGGGTTAACTAAAAATCATGAGGAGTCAATACTACTAGCGCCATCTGTGTGTTAGCCCACGAACTCTTCGGCCCACCTAATAAATATTTTGGAAAATGAAACACTTGACTTTGCTTTTCCACTATTATTTTGATCACATCACACTATTTGAATAACCTTTGAGATACGTAACTGATATTGGCCACATTGAAAAAGCCAGCCCAGCTGATCGTAGCCTACCACCCTTGTAAGGTCCAATGAATATTTATTTCTATTCATCGGTTATACTGAAACTTGCTGTTAAAAGGGAGAAATTTTTGTAGTAGTATCATTATCTTTTATCTTTTTAGAAAATAGACCATCATATGACTGCTCTGCGAGGACTGTCCACTCCTCACATATTGACAACTGTGTTGAACGATATCAACTTCAGTCAGTACATGTTGAATAACAACAACGAGAAATTGGAAACAGATTACCACTTCGATACCGTCAGTGTCAATGGAAATGTTATTTTGAGAAATACAGCACAGCATCACCCTGATGTAAAACAAATTGGAAAAGAAGCCATTAAAACAAATGGAAGGTAGATTCTCCATAAATAATAATAATAAACGATTTTATTGAAAGATCACTCAGTACAAGAGATACTAACCTAACCTAACCTAACCAATGGCAGAGTTAAACATCTGCACAAGATAAATCAAGGCAGAAATTGCTCTTCTATCCAACCTTGCCTATAATTACCCGAATCCTAGTCACGCTGAAATTATAAAATTCCTCATTGAAGAATAATTATGAATAATTATGGAATTGTGGGGGTGAAAGTTTGCAACTAGAGAGTATGGTGATTTGCTAGTGGGGTGGAAGTTGAAGTTTAGAGAGGTTTTCTAGACATCTATCAACTATCACAGTGTCTGACCTACGAACTCTCCAGACTTGAGTCTCCAATTTCCTGTACATGACCTCATTATAGCTTGAACTTCAGAACAGGTCTTTCAATATCTCAATTGCAATCATATATTGAACAGTATTTTTTTATTATTACATTTGTTTTTTTTTATATACAGCGTGACTCACGGTCGATGGTAGATTAGAGATTTTCGGGAAAACGCAAAGCATGATTTTTCTGAAAATTTCTCCTCTCACATTTCCTTACCTGTTCTATCGATCTAAAATATTTTCAGCATTGCGGCGTTGCCACTTCTATCAAAAAGTCCTAGCAATTATATTTTTTTTAATTGAACACCCCGTATATTAATACATTTTTGGAATCGATCTGGTATTTTAATACTTTTTTGTTAATAATGTCCTATACCTATCTCTATCTGTTTTCGAGATAAAAAATAAACTGTGCTAAATATGGTCCAAAACATAGCCTTAATTGAAATTAAGTACATCAGTACTCTCAATTCATGAAAAGTTGATATTTTGATGATAG